TCCTGTGAAAATTGCTAATGTGTTCTAAATTATTCTGAACTTAATTCAGAGAGCAAAAGCTGTTTTATTTAACTATATGCGATTCATGTGTCTTTTCACTTCAGATGCTTTTCTAAATCCCCCTGTGTACACATATTGTATTGAATTTTAATTATTGCAAGCCGCCCAGAGACCTCTGGGTAAAGTGGGCGACATATTAATTAATTAATTAAACCATTTCCACTGATGTAATTGGTTTAGAATAGTGGCTTTTAAAATAGTGGTCCCAGCAATATTGTGTGTAATGAAAATTCCATATTCTTTTCCATGCAGATTCTGGAAAATAGGATCCTCACTTCACATGTAGTAGGGGTATTTTTCCAATCACTCATCTCAGATGGATTATCAAGTATAGCACAAACTACTTACTTTGAAAAAAAAGTAACTCAATTGCCTGGATTTTTTTTTAAATGACCATTCTCCAGGCTTCTGGCTATTGACTGAGTGTTTGAAGTGTGTCTATGTATATAGATTTATAAATATATTAAAACATCAGTACTTGAAATTATAGAATGTCCCAAAACCATAAAATAAAGATTCTGCTCCTGAGGTGAATATTCTAAATGCAGTTTTCTTTGGAAAAACAGCAACAACCAGAGTTAACAATGCATGGATTTCAAGGGGCTCCGTTTACTTTCCTTTGGCTTTTAGTTATTTTTTGTTTGTTTTTTATTATTATTATTTTTCTTTTATTTCTGTGTTCTGGCCACACCCAGGAGAATCGTCTGCTTTTGATTTCTCCCTTTAAAGTTACATGGTAAATTTTCTTTCTCATTCTTCAGAGATGAAAACGTATTTAAAAACTCTGTATAACTATTATTTTTACACTGCTCATCCTGTTGCTTGTTATTTATTGCAGAATCTGAGGCCAGACTAAAAGGATGTTGGTTAACTTGGTTTCTAAAGAGTCTTTGAACAGCTTCTTAAAGAAAATAGGGTACCTCTGGCTGCTGATTTTTTCCAGATTGTAAGAGAGGCTCCCTTATGAGTGCTGATCTGCAGTTATGCAGGCTGGATGATATTTTCAATTTGAAAGCCAGGAAAGCATAGTGTTGTAAAGATAAACAGCTTAGCCTCAAAATCAACAAATCTAATTAAAAGTTGGTTGACAAGACTGTTTATAATACTGCATGGGTTTCGAGATTCAGGGCTGTTGCTCTCACCCTTTTTTGTGATATGTGTGTGCAGTCTTCAACCAATGTAGACTCCACTGCTATTTCATTATAATGAGATAGTATACCTACAGCTCTAAAGAAAGGTATAAAAATGCTCCTTTTTGATATTTGAGATCTTATCCAGACTTGGTTTTAAAGATGACTTCTACTCTGTTACTCTTTTTTAAGGGCAAAGCAATAAATAAATGAATATTGCAGTGTAGCTACTTTGTAAATGTAAGAGATAAGTAGGTCAATTTAGCTATTTAAATTTGTATTCTAATCCTCCAAGGAGGCAGGAACCATATGTGGGCTATCTCATTATATACTGCTAAGGAATTTAGGTTGAGAAAGAGCCTGAAATACTGTTGCTTAGCATGCTAAGTTGCATTAGAGTAGGCCCACTGAATCAGTGGGAATTCAGTGAGTCAACTACTCTTTAAATTCTCTTGATTTCAGTGGGTCTACTCTATTAGCATACTAGGTTGTATCTAGAGTAGGCCCATTTAAATCAACATAAATTGATTTATCAAATCCCCTTGTTTCAGTGCACCTTACTACACTAAGCAACAGGAGTTTAGCCAGTGTGAATGGCACTCCACAACTCTTTCTCTGTTTCTGGCTGCAGTGAGTGATACTAGAATCAGGATCCATGTAGAACTTCCCTTTGTTGATCATCTGTTTTCATTATACATGAAGCAGGATATAATAGGTTTAAAAGAATATCCAAGTCATTACAGTGCAAACAGCCGAAAAAGTATGTAACTCACTTTAAGCAGTTCCCAAGGTTACAACTGTACCTCATGCCCATTTGGAATTCTGGCATTCGTGACTCTTCACGTATTTATTTAAAATATTTTTATCACGTCTTTCTCCTTTAAAAAGACCCAAGGCAACTTACATAATTGAAAGATAATATTTAAGGCTAAGAAAAATGAATGCAAAGAGGCAGCTTACATCAGTCATAGACAAAATTAAAGTTCAAATAATAACTATATAAGCAGCAATAGAGAAGGCCCTCCTGACACACCTGTGAAGATGGTGGGACAAGAGAAAGGCCTCTCCTGGTTATCTTAACATCTGAGGCAGCTCATAATGGGAGACACAGTCTTTGGGATAGTTTGTACCCAGGCCATTTAGGGCTTTATAGGTTAGAACCAGCACTTTGAATTGTGCCTGGAAACATGGTCAGCCAGTGGAGCTGCTGTAACGGGGAAGTTATGTGATCCTTGTAACTACAGTGGTGCCTCGCTAGATGATTGCCTTGGGGGATGAAAAACCCGCAAGACTATTGGTTTTAGCGATCCCTATGGTGCTTCACAAGACGTTTTTTTTCTATGACCATGCTTCGCAAGACTTTTTTTTCCCCGAGACCGATGCTTCGCAAGATGAATACATATTCGCAAGACAGCAATTTTCATGGAACGAATTAAATCATCTTGCAAGGCACCACTGTACCTTGTTTTCCCAAAAATAATACCTAACCTGAAAATAAGCCCTAGTATGATTTTTTAGGATACTCATAATATAAGCCCTACCCCAAAAATAAGTCCCAGTTAAGTGAAACCCCGCCCTCTACCATTGTGCAGCAACCAGAAGAAGATGACATGATTGTATTTGAATAAATGTAGATTGTTGTACATGAAAAAAATAAAACATCCCCTGAAAATAAGCCCTGCTGCGTTTTTTGGAGCAAAAATTAATATAAGACCCTGTCTTATTTTGGGGGAAACACGGTAGCTCCAGTTAACGATCTGGCTGCTGCATTTTGGACACAGTGAAGTAAGGAGTCTCCAGATTTTGGATCTCTGAGCTTTGGGAAGTATGGACTCTATAACAAAAATGGCTGTTGTTGCGGTTTCCCAGTTACAAAATGACTACTGATATACCTATTTTTATACCCACTTTTCTGAAAGGTAAACTGTCGGGGCTAAAAAAACAAGCAGGCTGCTGAAGAACCTGAATACAACAAGGTGGAAGTTTATCCTGATCCTTTGAACACACAAAGATACTTATAAATTCTGCTTTTTTTCTGTCTCTTTCTCTTGCAGTGCTTTTTGTCTAGGATCATTCCTTGATCTTTCACCACATACAAGATCTATGCATCCCAGCCATTCATTACTTCCTCATTCAAGATCATTCCTTTTCTTGCTCTCCCTCTCTCTCTCCCTCTCCCTCTCCCTCTCCCTCTCTCTTCTCTCTCTCTCTCTCTCTCTGAGAAACTGAGAGAATGCATATAGTGTATGCTATATATTGTCTTCCTTTCCCATCGGGTTAGTTTGCAGGCCCCTTTGCTTCTTATCTTTTTTGCTTCTAATCTGCGCCTGAGTGGGGTTTCCCTTCTCTTCTCTCTGAGTTGTCCTCCCAATTTAATTATCAACTCAGTTTTTCAAAATGATCAGTATAATATCCTCTGAATATAGTTGTCAGTAAACTCTATGATTACAGGACAACTAGTGATAGGAAATCCAGCTGTGAAGCCAGAAATCCAGCACACACCCCACCATTGGTATGGAAAATACTTTAGCCCTCACAGGTTCTCATGATAGCACCTCGAGGAACATTTCAAAATGATTACCAACTTGCTACTTTTCCTTGCTGAAGAATAAACATGGTTCATCTTACATAATAAGGATTTCTGCAAAGCCAAAAAAGATTTCCCTTGAAAAATGAGTACAGTATAGGCTTATATTTTGAGGAGCACACCTAGTTGAATTTAGCTGGACTTACTCCAAGAGAACTGCTTGTAGGATTGCAGTTGTAGTTCCCCAGTTTTGTGAATCTAGTACCCATAGTTTCCACAGTAGCTAACAGTTATCTCAAATTCCATATGCCCTAAAAGGGATTTAAGAGTCTTTTAAAGTAGATGATGATGGTGGTGATTTCAGAAACAGTTTGGGTTATGTGTGGGAGTTAGGGGTTTACCTTGGGGATGGAGGAACTCATTACAGCCCTTTGGCCACACATTATTCACCCTGATATAAAGCAAAAAAGGGAGGGATTGAGGGTGGGGGAGAGGGAGAGAATAAGAGAAATATACAGTAGAAAGTAAAGGCTGAACCCAATGCAGATTGGGATGAGAACTGCATCCTACATCTAAAACGACGGAAGATTTAGACCATAGGGCATTGTTCAGATCCAGTGGTGCATTTGATTTTCATCACTGGGAACAGATAGCATTTTTTTCATAAGGCCACCCAACATCTTTTTATAAGGTGGCGTAAAGCCACTCAACATGTTTTCATAAGGTAGCTAGAAAGTTGATAAAAGGTGAAACAAAAAATGGTGCTTTCCCCAGTCACCACTGAGAAGGACGTGGCTTTCTAGCCCAGCATCAAGATGGACAGGTTCCTAAGATTGTTCCCCTTTTCTTATAGTGAGCTGTTCAAAGTACTTATCTATGGGTACCCCTTGCTATAAAGGCAGTTGTTAAGAGCACTGTGAAATATGGATTTGAAAGGTCCTGTATGACAGGATTTCTGTCCAGGTTTTAACAAATTTTGTTCGGTTCATCTGAGAGCTAATTTGTTTTTTGAAATTTGTCTCAAGTAACTGTACTTCTTTTGGTCTGGTCTCAATTGCTTTATGTTTATTATTATTTTTATTCTGATTACAATTTCTTTTTTATATATAATTAAATTTATTTCATGAAACATGCATGAACCAAAAATGTGACTCTAGGAGAGTATTGCTAAGTTGTGCTGATGTCAATTTCATACTGTGATATTTTTTTCTCTATTTATCTAGATTTCAATATTTCAATATATAACGATGTGCATGTTTTCCCCCTTCTCCCGCTGCATGCAGGGATTCGGGTTCGTAACTTTCGAGAATAGTGCTGATGCAGACAGGGCCAGGGAGAAATTACACGGCACCGTGGTTGAGGGCCGTAAAATCGAGGTGCATGTCTTCAGTAATTCAATTTCTTCTTTATATTTATTCTTTTTGTTTCTTTTTCTGTGTCTTGCCTCACTTACTTCACATTTGGATTCCTGTCTTGTGTGTGTATGTGTGTGTTAGTATCTCTGTGTTTTTCACCCCTCACCTCCTGCACTAAGGTGTATAAAAATAATACCTGCACCCAAATATATATATATATATGTATATATATATATCCATATATGTTTTGTTATTTTAGGTATTTTTCTTTTTTCCTTTCTCTTATGTTTGTTTCCAACCTGGTCAATATTTTTTGCCCTTCCACTGCCTTGATTTCCTTTTGCTTCAATTTATGATGCTCCAACTTTCTATTACCAAGCCTGATTAAAACTAACAAAAAGAGCACTGTCCATGTTATAACTTGGTGTCTAACAACAAAGAACGGGGCCAGCCAGTATTTGCCCTTTCCTCAGAGGCCAGTTTTCCTTCATATGAATTACAATTATAGTAATAGGGGGAAGAGATAAAGGGATGGGGAAGAAAATTCTTTCAGCAGTTAGGGTAACTTCCTGGATACAACTGCAGTAAAGAAACATTCAAAATTACCTGCAGCACTGAGTATAGAGCTTGATCTGGGCTCATTCCTGGTGTTACCTGTATGAATGGTGACTGCTTAGTCGTTAATTTTCATATTGAAGGTTAACTGGCCCCTTTTTCTTCTCCCATTTCTCTATTAAAAAACAGTACTAAATATAAGGGGGAAAACTTAAAAACCGCCGTTTTGAGTAAGATGTCTGCATATTTTGCTTTTTTGTTTTGTTTTGTTGTTTTATTTCCCTTTTCAATGGTTTAGTGTTTAGGGCCCTTCACTTGACTCACTCTTTCCATGGTAACTATACACAATGCTGGCGATGGTACGAGTTGGCGGTAAGTGAAACCAAAGTGCTAGAGGAGAAGCTTATTTCTTTTTATTTTTTTATGCGAAACAAAAATTAAGAAAGAAAAAAATCCATCTGCCATTTCACATTAACACTACAAAATGTGATTTGACTTGTTGTTCCCCCCTTTCCTTTCTCCCTTCCCACCCTCTTTTATTTTCAATGCTGTTGAGTAATGCCGCCTGGACTTTGGATGTACCCACTGTTTTGTATAGTCTGAGCTGTTTGATTACTGACTTCCTGGTGATTTCCCTTGCACATCTTACTCAGAGTTATTGAACTCCAGTTTGGCTGGTTTTATTAATGCACCCACACCCTTCCTCTTTTTTCTCTTCCCCCACCATCTTTCTTGCTCTTTCTCTGTCCAGACCCTGAGAGTCTTCCTCTCTCCCTTGCCATTTGTATTTTTTTTTCAGTTAAATGCAGCTGTTGATCTCTATTTGCTGACTAGTTGTTTCTGATTGGTTTTGGCCATTTTTCCTTTAAGTGCTTGTATTGCACATTAGCAGCTGACTTCAGGCACTCGCTCCATCTTAATGATTGTCTGTGAGACCTCTCGTCCTCCTTCCCCTCCCTAGTCCCATTAATCAATTGTTGTTGTTTTTCTTTTTTTAATGTATGTTTTAATAGCATGCTCTCAGTCTCATCGTTGTTGTTTCCCATTCTTTCTTTTGAAATGTGTAATGTTTACATGGGGGTGGCTAAAACCAGAGTAATGAGATTCCAGGCTCCCTTCTTCCATGTCCAAGATCACCTGTCTGTTGGATGTCAAAGGACACCTAAAACATTTTCCTTTGAAACTTATGTGGTCTGTTATTTTAGAATTTTGAAAAGTTACTGATTCCAGTTCGGTCTTCACTTATTTTTTAGAACCTTTGAAATTGTGTCTGATGTAGGGTTGCAGTAATTTGGCTTCATACACACACACACCTGCCCCCATATTTACTAGCTCCATCTTACTGCAGTGCCTCTAATACCTGCAACTTCAGATTGTCCTCTGATGAGGATAGTGGATGCAGAGAAATCAGGAAATACTTTATAACCTCCTTGTTGATATTCATTTTTCTCCTCCAAAATCAGCAGTTGAAGGTGAATCTGGCAATAATCCATAATATCCTGAGACTGGAATGCGGTCCAACCAATCTTGCTTAGGAGTCCAAAGTCCACATTTCCTTCATAGAGGAAATTAATCAAGGAGACCTGGGATCCAATCTCTCCTCCTCTCCAAATAGGAGTCTTCTCTGTAATATTAGTCAGCGGCTGAAGTTCATTGAAAGGCTACTAAGAGATAAAACAAGGTTGTTTTTCTTTGTTACTTCATGCTGGTCAAACCAGGAATGAAGAAAATAGCAAGATGGGAGTTTCTACCCATTGGATTAATGAGCATCAAATACCCAAGTCATTTCCAAGGTACCTGGGATGCCTGAGAAAATCTGCTCTTTTTTAGCTTCTTTAATGTATAATTTAAATGACAGAACTAGATCTTTTTATAGTTTTCATATTTATTTAATGACAATCTATAACAGTAAATGTAAGTGTGTTGAAATGTTAAACCTGCTTTTAAAAATTAATCAGGGGGATTTCTACCATTTTCTCTAAAGTCCAATGCTTCCTTCCCTCTCCTCCCTGCCCCCACCTTTTACTTTTAGGTTAATAACGCCACTGCACGAGTGATGACAAATAAGAAAATGGTCACACCATATGCAAATGGTAAGAGAAAATGATGGTACTAATAATGAAGAAGGAAAATGTGGGAGAAGAACAGATGTGTGGAGAGATGAAGTTCTTTCCTGCTGGATTTCAATGTAGTGGAAACTTTGGGGGAGGGGTTTTCCAATTATTTTGCCCCTTGCTTATAAAGACACTGGAGGAGAGTGTTCGGTCATTTTTCAAGGGATAAAATAACCAGGTATCCAGTAGGTCCTCTTCAGCTGTTTTGGAAATTGTTGCAGGAAATTAAAGAGATTTCTGTTTTTATATATAGATTAACATATCTTAACTTTAGGACATATTGGACAAAATCCAGTTGTTGTTGTTGTTTAGTCGTTAAGTCGTGTCCGACTCTTCGTGGCCCCATGGACCAGAGCACGCCAGGCCCTCCTGCCTTCCACTGCCTCCCAGAGTTGGGTCAAACTCATGTTGGTAGTTTCGATGACACTGTCCAACCAGCCATCTTTTAATTTCATGACTGCTGTCCCCATCTGCAGTGATCATGGAACCCAAGAAAGTAAAATCTGTCACTGCCTCCATATCTTCCCCTTCTATTTGTCAGGAGGTGATAGGACCAGTGGCCATGATCTTAGTTTTTTTTGATGTTGAACTTCAGAGCATTTTTTGCACTCTTCTCTTTCACGCTCATTAAGAGGTTCTTTAATTCCTCCGCACTTTCTGCTATCAGAGTGGTATCATCCACATATCTGAGGTTGTTGATATTTCTTCCATTCTTAATTCTGGCTTGGGATTCATCCAGTCCTGCCTTTCGCGTGATGTATTCTGCATATAAGTTAAATAAGCATGGAGACAATATACAGCCTTGTCGTACTCCTTTCCCAATTTTGAACCAATCAGTTGTTCCATATCCAGTTCTAACTGTTGCTTCCTGTCCCACAGGTACTCCCATTACTTTAAGAACTTGCCATAGTTTGTTATGGTCAACACAGTCAAAGGCTTTTGCCTAGTCAGTGAAGCAGAAGTAGATGTTTTTCTGGAACTCTCTGTCTTTCTCCAAAACTGGAATGCCATCACCTCCACTGGCCTTGTTGTTAGCCATGCTTTCTAAGGCCCACTTGATTTCACTCTCCAGGATGTGTGGCTCAAGGTCAGCAAACACACTATGTGGGTTGTTCTGGACATCCAGATCTTTCTGATATAGTTCCTCTGTGTATTCTTGCCACCTCTTCTTGATGTCTTCTGCTTCTGTTAGGTCCCTACCATTTTTGTCCTTTATCATGTCCAACTTTGCACAAAATGTTCCTGTGATACTTCCAATTTTCTTGAACAGATCTCTAGTTTTTCCCTTTCTATTATTTTCCTCTATTTCTTTGCACTGTTCATTTAAGAAAGCCCTCTCATCTCTCCTTGCTATTCTTTGGAAGTCTGCATTCAATTTTCTATAACTTTCCCTATCTCCCTTACATTCTGTTTCCCTTCTCTTCTCTGCTATTTGTAAGGCCTCGTTGGAAGCCACTTTGCTTTCTTGCATTTCCTTTTCTTTGGGATGGTTTTTGTTGCTGCCTCCTGTACAATCTTACGGGCATTTTGCTGTATTGTGTTACAACACTATTGGTTCTAAACAAGCCAGGATCTAGATATGAGAACCAACCTAGATTGCAATTACAGCTGGAAAGTGGAAGAACATGGTGCAAGCACTTTGTCAAATTAAGTTCCAGCTCCTTTATCTCTTGACTCCCTAATTTAGCATTCCAGTCCCCTATAATGAGAACATATTTCTTTGTTGTCAGTTCTAGAAGGTGTTGTAAGTCTTCATAGAACTGATCAACTTCAGCCTCTTCAGCATCGGTGGTTGGTGCATAAACATGGGTTCCTGTGATGTTGAAAAGTCTGCCTTGGATTCGTATTGAAATCATTCTATCATTTTTGAGACTGTATCCCAGTACAGCTTTTCCCACTCTTTTGTTGACTATGAGGACTACTCCATTTCTTCTATGGGATTCTTGCCCACAATAGTAGATATGATAATCGTCTGAATTGAATTCACCATTCATGTCTATTTTAGTTCACTGATGCCAGAATGTCAGTTTGTTCTTGCCATCTCCTGTTTGACCTCATCCAGCTTACCAAGGTTCATTGATCTTACATTTCAGGTTCCTATGCAGCATTTTTCTTTTCAGCATCAAACTTTCCTTTCATTTCCAGGTGCGTTGCAGCTGAGCATCCTTTTGGCTTTGACCCAACCACTTCATTAGCTCTGGAGCTACTCGTACTTGTCCTCTGCTCTTCCTCAGTAGCATGTTGGACGTCTTTCAAGCTGAGGGGCTCATCTTCCAGCGTCATATCTTTTCGCTTTTTTTTCTGTCCATGGAGTTTTCTTGGCAAAGATACTGGAGTGGCTTTCCAGTTCCTGCTCCAGGTCAATCGTGTTTAGTTGGAACTCTCCACTATGATCTGTCCGTCTTGGGTGTCCCTGCACGGCATAGCCCATAGCTTCTCTGAATTACTCAAGCACATTCACCACGACAAGGCAGCAATCCATGAAGGGGCTGTAAAATCCTGTTACTTAGTCTAGTAATCACTCTAGAGTAGGCTCCATGAATCAACTGAAATTTAGTGAGTTATCTAAATATAATCGATTCACATTGGCCTATTCTAACTGTATCTTACTATGCTAAAGTAAGTCCCAAAACTTGTTGCTAAAGTCAGCAGTGAGATTTTGGTCAATTTTTATCTTTCTCTTCCCTGTTAATTTGGTAAGAAATGAACAGTACATAGGTCTCTTCCATCAGTAATAGGTAATGGTTGCAGCTAGAGATTGATACAAATCATTGGTTTGCAGTTCAGTGTGGTTCACTTATTGGCCCAAATCAGAGGTATTGCCCAGAGGAGGTGGGGCTGGAAAGCTGGCGTATTGCTTCCGAGGGGGCCATCACCGGAGGGAGTTTAATTGAAATCTGAGGTGCATTTTAACTGAAGCTCTTCATATTCTTGCACTGACCACTTTGCCATGTCATGTTTTTTCTCTGACAAAACGGAAACATTGTTCCATATGTGTGTTTACGGATTACAAATCATCAACCCCAACATTTTAATTGTGATATTTGAATATTATGGTGATAAAGAGTTGAGGCTGGTTCGATCAATAAATTCCATTGGACAAAGTAAGTGGGCTACCAAAATGAAAGTGGGATGTGGTGATGCTGCAGGTTAAACCGCAGAAGCCTCCGTGCTGCAATATCGAAAGAGCAGCAGTCGTAAGATTGAATCCACATGATGGAATGAGCTTCTGTCACTTGTCCCAGCTCCTAGCAACCTAGTAGTTTGAAAGCATGTAAATGTGAGTAGATAAATAGGTACCACCACGGTGGGAAGGTAACGGCATTCTGTGTCTAGTCGCGCTGGCCACGTGATCACGGAAACTGTTTACGGACAAATGCTGGCTCTACGGCTTGGGGACTAGGATGAGCACCACACCCTAAAGTCGGACACGACTGGACTAAATGTCAAGGGGAACCTTTACCTTTACAAACTGGAAAAACTCATTTTTCCTATGTCAAGGTAATGACAGATACTCATTCATGGAGAGAAAGATCAAATATGTCACTTGAGATCAAAGCTCATCCACAAACCTAGGTAGTGGATCTTCATAGATGCAGATGCATAGATAGTGAAGCAGCAGCAATCTGTGAAAAACCGTTGTGTCCTCCCATTCTGGTGAACGGAGCAGGGGACAGAAAGCACAAGCTTATTGAATGATAAGGGACTGAGGAAGGAATTCACATGTGCTGCCTGCAGTTATACTTGCTCAAACCTCAGAAAGGTTGCTTCGTCAAGGACTCTTAGAATCTCAGCTTTCAGTGACTGTGCTGACTGAAGTAGTCTGAGAATTATTGCCCTGAAAAGTAATGTTTTCAGGATTTGTTCTTGTACTCTTTGAAAGGCTGTTAAAAACTTTGAAGAAGAAGCCAGAATTCTGGTTTTTCTGACAAGGCAGTATGCAGATTCATGCTTGCCAACTGATTCTGCTTCAAGCAGGAATGGCTAATCAAACCACAGACCTTCTGGCTTTGTTTTGTTTAACGTGATATCCAAAGCCAGAGGGCTCTGGCACTCTGTCTTGTCTCTCTCCCTGCAGCCATAGAAGTTACCCTGGGACCAGAGAAAGGGAGAGAGTAGTTGCAGTGCTGGATTTTGCCAGATAAAGACATCATGCTAAACAGACCATGGCTGGAAATTCTTGGATTGCTTAGCTGTCTCATGCTTTTTAGTGAAATCAAATAACCGGTTTTCATCAATATGCTGGCTCTACCAGCACAAGCCAGAATGTTTTAGAATTTTGTTTTATTATGATGTCCAAATGGATCCTTTCATCATAATAGGGAAAACTCTGTCCATTGTGGTGAGTTGCTTTATTCTTTGTGGGAACATTTGTCCACCAACTTTGTACTGTGGCTTGCTCAGATTTGCAATTGCTGAAAATTAAGATGTTCTCCCAATTTTGTTGCCTGATGCAATTGCTGAATTGGACATACTAAGAATAAATTATGGGTACCTGGTGACACTGCAGGTTAAACCGCAGAAGCCTCTGTGCTGCAAGGTTGGAAGACCAGCACTCGTAAGTTCGAATCCACGCAATGGAGTGAGTTCCCGTCACTTGTCCCAGCTCCTGCCAACCTAGCAGTTTGAAAGCATGTAAAATGCTAGTAGATAAATATGTACCACCATGGTGGGAAGGTATAGGGACGTGGTGGCGCTGTGGGCTAAACCGCAGAAGCCTGTGCTGCAGGGTCAGAAGACCAAGCAGTCGTAAGATCGAATCCACGCGACGGAGTGAGCGCCCGTCGCTTGTCCCAGCTCCCACCAACCTAACGGTTCGAAAGCATGTAAATGCAAGTAGATAAATAGGGACCACCTCAGTGAGAAGGTAACAGCGTTCCGTGTCTAAGTCGCACTGGCCATGTGACCATGGAAGATTGTCTTCGGACAGAACGCTGGCTCTATGGCTTGGAAACGGGGATGAGCACCGCCCCCTAGAGTCGAACACGACTGGACAAAAATTGTCAAGGGGAACCTTTACCTTTACGGTGGGAAGGTAACAGCGTTCCGTGTCTAGTCGTGCTGGTCACGTGACCACAGAAAATGTTTACACAAACGTTGGCTCTACGGCTTGGAAACGGGGATGAGCACTGCCCCCTAGAGTCAGACACGACTGGACTAAATGTCAAGGGGAACCTTTAATCTTAAGGATCAATTATACAGATCATGTCCTTTGACTGCTTCTTACAAGGACTGCCTTGCACGTATCTGATCATTGGCATATCCACCACAGTTCTGTCCTCTCACAGCAAGAACCAAGGTCTTTGGCTACAAACTTTCTTGGTGTGGCTAGCTACTAAAGACATAGAGGATTAAATCAGGAACATGACTGTTCTTTATTATTTTTCAGTATGATAGCATACTGAAATAACCACTCTCCTGACCACTTCTAAGCCTACATAAACCTTTCTAATCCAGTATTCTGTCTAATAGCCAGCCAAATCTCCTGTTTTTTTGTACCCACTGCATAAGATGGACACTGCTTTGACTCTCAAGTTTACATTAATTGATGGTGACATAGCTGCTACCAATTTAGTTATGGAAAATACCATATTCTGGAATTCTTCTTAATGACCTTAGATTTTTTTTATTCATAAAATACTTAAAAATAATAGTGCAATTATACTCTTTAAAGAGCCTACAAATGCTGAAGAAATTGTCGAAGATGAAGTAAAGAAAACAGAATAAATAATTGAATTGTATTTGCACATTATTACAGTATGTGTTTGTAACTCTCTTACGGAATATGATTGCATTTTAGCTGTTTAGTAAATTCTTAATGTGTGCACCCAGTGTTTTGTTCAAATAAAGACAGAGGTTGGTTAGGATCATCCTCTTGATACCTGAGCTGTGCATGAGGTTTTTTTGTGGATCATTTTTTTGGGGGGGCGGCAAAGGAACTTATATGAAATAGAGCATTCCTTGATTATCACAAGGAATTGTCCTACGCAGATTCAGAAACCTGGATAGCCCAAAAATGACACAAAGCCCATAATATGTATGCATTTTTAGCAGTGGTCTTTTCCAGATAAAGTAACAGAAAATGTCTCTGAGTCTGCATTATTTAAGACATTTCACCTAGAATGGCTTTCTAAAAACCACTAGGTGGTGTTCAAGAATAAAATAATATTTATACAATAAAATAAAACAGTAAAAACAATATTGAATTGTAAGAACAGTTTTAAAAGCCAAAATAAAAATACTTGTATTGACCACAATCACAGAGAGGACATGAATATTTAATGCCGTCTCATCCCTTGAGTGGTGCCTAGATATGGTCCTGGAATGGATGAGGACCAACAGGGTGAAGTTGAATTTGGACCAAACAGAGGTCCTCTAGGTGGAGGCTTCTCCTCTCTGTGGATTGAGGGCTTCCCTTCTCTTTGGAGTAGCTACTCTCTCTGCTAAGGATAAGGTTTAGGAATTCTACTGGACCCAGCACTATCTATGGAAACTCAGATAGTGTTTGTGGTCTGGTCTGCCTATTTCCATCTCAGGCGGATTGCACAACTGCATCCCTACCTTGACATCAGGTCCGTCACCATGTTGTTTCATGCACTGGTAATCTCAAGAATAGCTTGCTGCAATGGACTCTACGTGGGGCTGGCCGTGAAGCTGATACGGAAGCTTCAAGAGGTCCAAAATATGGCAGCCAAGTTAGAAAAGGGAGTAAATAAATACCATCAAATTACCCTGATCCTGGCCACGTTGCACTGGTTACCTGCTTGTTTCTGTATCGGCTTCAAGGTTGATGGTCTTGACCTGTAAAGCCCTGAATGGTTTGGGATCTCAGTACATGACGAATACCTACTCCCAACAAGGACTTCCCATCTTACCAGCTTCTCCCAGGCTGGACAGCTGAGGGTGTTGACCCTGAGGGAGGCCAGAGGGAGAGAACAAGGAACCAGGTCTTGGCAGTCTCAGTCCACATTTGGAATGAAATACGACCTGAAATTCCTGGTCCCCTCCCTAGTGTCCTTTAAGAAGCTTCTAAAAACATTTTTATTTCATCTGGCCTTTCAAAATCTGCCAACCTAAGATCCCTAAGAGCATCAACCTTTTACCCAATTGCTACCTGTTTTCAGTCCTGTTTCAGATGTTTATTATTCAGTTTAATTTGTTAATTTAATGCACTTGATTATGCTACGTTTATTCTTGTTCTTGTTTGTGTACTGCTCAAAGTGACCGTCAGATGCACGTTATAAAAATCAGATAGATTGATAGATAGATTGATTCTGATTCTGACAGTCCTTGCAGAAAATGCAGTGTTGATCCAAACATTAGTTAGGGTGTTTGGAGTAGCTGGAGGAATGCCATCAACCTTGCATACCATTTTAGGCATCCTCTTAGGTGTGCAAGAAAAGATACTGTTCTTGTAGCTAGACTGCCTCTGGTAGTCATATAAGTGGAATTTAATTTTTTAAAAAAATATATATTGGTGGCTGGCTCCTGTGGGCAGGCGGGCAGATAGACAGATGGATAGACAGACAGGCAAGCGGGCGGATGGATGGATGGATAGATAGATGGATAAATAGTCTCTTTAAATGTTGTGGAGCAGCAATGCACAAGAAGGCCATTAGTATACAACTTCTACAGTTTTATATCCTGAAGCTTGCTGATGCTCAAGGGTACCCCCAAACATAGTACACTGCAGCAGTTTAACCATGAGGATACTCAGACATGGATAATATAGTTGAGAAGATTTGTGCTTTTTTGGACTAAAGCTCTCAGCACTCTAAATACAGGAAGGCTGCCTGGGAAATTCTGGAGGCCATGATCAACAACCCCCCTCCCCAACCTTCTCAGCTCTGGAGAAAAACTCCAAGGCAGATCAGATCTTGAGAGCATGCTACCACTGAGGGGCCTTTCCTGACTGTATCTCAAGCTGTAATTTCATAATTTATTTATTGATCCATTCTGGTTTTTAAAAAGCTTGTATTAGCAGCCTCAGAATTGTATTTGTTCCTTCACTCCAACCATGATATTTAGAGAGAGAGAGAGAGAGAGAGATTAATGTACTGCAAGTGTGGGAAGTAATCCCCCCCCAACCAATGGTGGTATTTGCATCTTCCTCCGTCTATGTCCAGAACATGAGAAATCAGGGGGAAAGTCTGTCTTTGTACACAGGAATAATCCACATGTAATTAAAAATGAGGGAATAAGCACCAGAAGCCACACAGCACACATAGCGCTGTTTGCTCTTCTCCTGGGTAGATGTTGCTGTTCACTGCTACCTTCCTTCTTCCAGGTTGGAAGCTGAGCCCCGTGGTTGGAGCGGTCTATGGTCCTGAATTATATGCAGGTAGAATCGAATGTTGTTTCTCGTGTTGCTGCCATTTAACTGCAGTGGTGTTTGTTTGTGTTCTCAATCTGCTGTTTCTTTATAACCTTTTTACATTTTTTATTCTTTTTAAAACTAAATTAGCATCCAGTTTTCAAGCAGATGTCTCGCTGGGCAATGACGCTGCAGTGCCCCTGTCAGGAAGGGGGGGTATTAACACTTACATTCCTTTAATCAGTAAGTAGCCCCTATTGGCCCCTGTATTGTTACTGTGCTTGAGTAAACAGTGACCTGTTAGCCCTTTTCTTTTCAGTCTGTATAATATGTACTTGAAAGGTTGAGCCTGTCAGAAAGACATGCCACTTCTCTGAGCAGTGGCCTCGACCCTTTCTATATGGCTATGCATTTGTTTGCATGCCTGCTCCTGGGCTGGGGCTTCCCCAAATGGATGCTGAAAATTCATAAGGGAGGATATATGTAGGGAATGCCCCACCATTAGAACTGAAGACATGAACAAGGCCACACTCCAAAGTACATATTATTCAAGCTGCTAAACTGTGAGTTCACTTCAGGCCCCCTTGTGGCATGCTCCTGGAAGCATCTTGAGTTGGATTTATGCCTTGTGACTGACTGGCGCCTTCTGGGTATCTGTTTATTGCATTGTGTTCCCAGCTGCCTTCTGAGGTTTTTGACATTGTTTTGCCCTGAGCCAGTTTACTCCAGCATGTACTGTAATAAAACAGGGCCCAATATATCTATCTATCTATCTGTCTATCTCTGGAACCACTTAATGTCACCTTTTGCCAGAAGATGGGCTCTTGGTAAACTGGCACTTTTTTCTTAATTTTGCCTGCCTTCTAGAGGATTGTTATTACCTTTCTGTCTTTAAATTAAATGCAGGGAAGGACTGGTGGTAGGGAAAAACACACATGCAAAATCTTGCCCTGTTAACGGAGCACTGGGTAGGTGGGTATGGGAAGTCACAATGATGTATTTTAAGTTCTCCCATCCCAAGTATTTGGAAGAGTTGCCTGCCTATATTAGTAGCAACTCTCTGTGCTTCCTGGGCTCTTTCTAACCAGACTGCATGGCATTATCAAAAGTAGGGTGGAGGAAGAGGAAAAGAGTTTGCAGTTAATGATGAATAAGGCATGATACAGTGTTAATCCCTTGCATGCTAGGCCTCTTGCAATCCTGCCTGCCCTTCAAGGCCATGAGTAGTAAGAGGTATGTACTGCCATCAGGGCTGTAAGCATGCTCCTTTACAGGATAGTTGCAGAATGTTCCACAGCTCTGGAATTGCAGATCATTCTGGTTGTTACATTGACACGGCAGATGTAGTGATGCTGCTCATATTTTCCCTTGTCTCTCTTTCTGTTTGTTTTCACAGTTCCTGGCTTCCCTTATCCAACTGCAGCCACCACAGCAGCCGCATTCAGGGGAGCCCATCTGAGGGGCCGAGGACGGACAGTGTATGGTGCAGTGCGGGCAGTACCTCCGACAGCCATCCCAGCTTACCCAGGGTAAGCAACGAAAAACAAACCAAACATGTGTTGTGCAGATCCTGAAAGTTAGCCGATTCAATAAAAATAAAAAGGTAGAAGTATGATGGATGGCGAGAGTCAGGATATGCCAGCACCAGAACACTCTGCACCCAATCACACCCAGGAAAGCCAATCTAAAATCTTACACTTCTGGCTGATAATACTTTATCATAGAGGCTTATCTGTGAAAGGGCAGCTGTTTCAATTAAAGTTCCATTTCCCCAAGCATTTGGTAACAATTTGATAGGATGGAAATAATGGTATTGGTAAAGTAATATTGCTGCAAAGAGAGCTACAGAAAGGGTGTAGAGTCTGTGGAGTGAGGCAGCTTCTGCTCTCTGAAGTCCAGTTTCATTGATACCAGCAGTGACAAGTGTTGCTTATTAGCTTCGTTGCACGCTGCCTGGGTGTAGGACACAGGAAGGATAGTTACCCACAATGGATTTGCTTTCTTAGTTGGAGACATTTTAAGATGGGTTAAAATGGGATTTGTCACATCTGGTTTGAAGATAAGGGACACCAAAGACAAGAAAAAGGAACAGTGAATTTTAAAACATTACGTAACAGCAGAAGGCACAACAACAACAACAACAACAACAACAACAACAACAACAACAACAACAACAACAACAACAACATACTGACATAAAATATACATTAATATTTACCCTTTTCTTAGGTTTTTATTATTTTCATAGCGAAGAAATAGATCAGTAACACCAAGCTTACATAGTTATTGAAAAGGCATTGATTGATCTTTAAAGACAGTCTTTAGGGTTTGACAGGGTGCCAGTGGCTCAGAAGATTTTGTTTCAAGGTTTCACTTTGCATCTGAGAATGCCACTTATTTTGATAGGTGCATCTTGTTCAGATTCCTATCCACCTCAGAGGAAACCTGAGCAAGAGAGAAATCATTAAGAGAGAAAAAGCACCAGATGGATTATGCTCTTCTTTCCTTTGAACTGGAAGCAATCACTTGTATGTCAGCGTGATTTTTGCCACAGTAGTTGTGTTCAGGGGTCATAATAGTCCACTTGGAATATTTTAATAACATAATAGAATTGGCTTGCTGTAGGCAGAATTTTAAACTTAGAAGCAAAGTGCATTTTCAGATGCCTGTTCCTTTTACAACACAAGATAGCATAAATACATTTTACTATTCAGCTGTATGAAATTAGCAAGTGTTTGTGTAGTGCAGTACACTTTTAGATGCAGCAAGGAGAACTGCTGAAGCAGTTCCCCAAAATTGCTTCCATGGGTTAATCATATGGTGTCCTTTTGCAGGATTCATGTCCAGGTATTGATGCTTAGAAATACAGAAATTGTGAGAACATTGTGTTGTTGTCATTGTTATCCCTGATAGTAACGGCTAGATATTCCTGGAAAAGGAGTTGCCTCTGGCAGTGCATTGGAAAAATTTTGTTTGGGGCTGGATTTGATTCAGATTAGTGCAGGCTCATGATTTCCACTTAAAATTAATTCTCAAGACAACCTTCTATATTCAAGTAATGTTAAATTGTCTATGGGTTGGAGAAACATAGCATAAAATAGCCTGTTGTCTTGAACTTTGCAAGGTTATTTTGTATGACAAGTGGCTCAATTTTTGTCATAGCTAGAATCAGGAATCCTTGAACAACAGAGCACATAGGTTGCTGAGGACATTTGGCTTAGAACATTTTGATTCCACAATTTGTCTCAATACAGAGTAGTGGGGTAACAGATTTGCAATTGAAGCGAATATGTTTCATTGTGGTGAAACAACACAAACATTAATTGCAACATCAATCCTTCAGCATTTTAAAGTAATAGGTTATGTGGTTTGGATGATCTATTACAAAATATGTTTCTGAAAAAGAACATTTGTGTAAGATGAAATACAATAGAACAATCTTTTCCAGATCATGAGGTTATCTAGAATTCACTGTTACAAGATGCAAATGAAATAATGAAGCATGAATTCTGTTAACAAGGTAGAGCTCATAAACTAAATAAGCAATGAAAGTTAGTCCCCTAGTTTTCCCCCATTGCTGGTAATGAATCTTTAGCCTTGCTATGTTGCCTTCCTTGTCTCTGCTGAATTGATGTTACTTTTGTTTTAGAAAGTACCATCAAGTCTCTTTGTCCTTATCAGTTCTGTTTTGTAGATCAAAATCTGAATGACATTTCATCTTTAGGGGGAGTGTATTGTGAGCACTTTGAGCCACCTGATCATCTACACGTGACACTAACTTGCATCTTTGTAGAACCCTGGCAGTTATAAGGCAGACTTACAGCCAAGCTGTCCTGGCCTTGTTGTTTGTAACTTCCTATAGGTGAGTGTGTTCTGATCAGAGTGGGAGAAACTTGGCATCATTTTCCACTCCAGTTGGCATTTGGGAAAAAATTTCACGTAATACTGCCTCCTTCCTTCTAGCCTGTGATAACGTTAACTGGTAAGCCAGATACATGCACACAAGGATCTCATTTATGGGGAACTAATGCTTTTTAATGTGAGTGATTTAGCATTCAGCTATCCAGGGAATTTAGCAGGGGGAAGCTGTGCAGTGCTAAAGCATGCATTCATAACCAGGGCTGTGGCAAACCCTCTTTTCCTTCCTTGTCCTTCCCTGCCCTGGCAAGGCAAAGTGCTTTACAGTGTGAAATGTTCCAGTAAGTGTTGGGGTTTCCAAGTCCCCAAGTTTTTGCTTCTGGAAATTCTGGGAGAAACTAATTAGTGGCTGTTAAGAGAACTAGAGTCCACCTAAGCTACTCTCTGCTGTGGAATACGTCGTTACTATCAGGGATTGCCCTCACTTTACTTTTCAGTTCTTGGACCTTGGACCAATCGCCTAACCTTTTTAGCTCATTATCTCTGCCTGTGAAAGCAATGCATTGTGGGTATTTCTTTTATGGTTACATTTATCTGTGCTTACCTTGATCAGAAGTTATTGATTTGGCCCTCCCCAAGATTTTGCATCAATATTTTAAGGTGCTGAATAATAATATTTTGCATGCTTGTGTGAGCAGCCGAATCTTACCGCATGTCTAATGTACAGAGTATGGAACAGGTGATGTATGGATATCAGAAATGATCGCACAAGGGTGCAAGATAGAGAATAACAGATCTTGAGTATGTTCCTGACCTAGGTGGACTCCAGCACGTTCTGAACTTCTCCCAAAGAACTTGGTTGCTCTACTTGATGCCTGTTGTGTGAAGCCAATTTGTCCATGCATTTAGGGGGTTAACTGAAGATTTTCCAGTTTAATAGTTAAAGCTGATTTTTTTTTTGAACCATGTTCTCGTTCTTCAGAGCATCTGTTCTTCCAAAAACAACCCCCCTAAAAAAAGCAGTGCTATTTTCTTGTACAATATAGGGGTTGATCTCTCCCCACCCCCACCCCTTTGCATACTGTCTTCCCTTTTGCCCTGCCCACCTGCATGCCATGGAAGATGAAATGGAGCTGTCTAGCGTGCGTGCGCCCACACAATCTCTTGCTGATTTGCTCCTGCCCGAAAGCCCAGGTTATGGATTCATACATCACCTGCCTGTGTAAAATGCATGTGCATGCTGCCGTCCTCAATAACCGGAATGTGTTTTCTGTTCTTTTTGTTTTTGTTTTGTTTTTTGTTTTGTTTTTGTGTGGATTTTCTGCAGTGTGGTTTACCAGGATGGATTTTACGGTGCTGACCTCTATGTAAGTACACACACCGAAGCCTTCTCATCCCCAACCCCAATAAGCCAGCCTTTTTTTTTTTTTGGTTGATGTTTTTGGTTTTGGTTTGGTTTGTGTTTTAAAATATAATTTATTTTGATTTTCTTCTTCCTTGTGGATATATACATTTATATATTTAAGAATGCAAGCATGTTTCTCTATCACTGCACTTGCCCCTGGGTGCAAGACCTGAGCCTCTGGGTTTTCTAACCATTGCCAGAGTTAGTTTAGTAGGTGTCCTTTTCATGCAGGTACAATGAACTACTAATCAACCTGAGAGATGATTTACAAATTAAAAATTCCATCAGTGCATCTCTAATTGGCATAATTAGGATCAAAAAATACCAGGATGGGTTTAGCCTCAGATCTTTCCTTTCCCTCAGCCTTTCCCTCATGAAACTTTTTGAAGGCTTGATTTATATAGGGAGCTGTAGCCTAAGGAAAGTCATGACTCATGTAAAGTCGTGCAGCATAGAAATGTGAATGCTGGATAATGGGACAGATTTGCCTTTAAATGGTACATGGGTAAATTGTCTGTAGAGTAACGTTGGCTCAAATCATATTTGCACAAACTGATGATGTCATCAACACCAGTGATTTTTTCCCCCAAATTAAACATTTCCTACTCCCTGGCTCCCGTGTAGTCCCTTTCATCATTGGGAAGCCATGGGGGCTGGAGGATGGGAAGAGTAAGTCTTTTATTACCAAAAAAATCACAGCCACCAGGATGGCTTTACCAGTGGTAGATATTTTCAGTAATTAAAAACTTCCATCCTGCAGCTCCCACAGCTTCCCAGCAATGAACAGGATTACACAGGAGGCATGGGACCTACAGGACACAAATAGCAAGTATTTAATTTCTGAAAGGTCACCACTAATGCTGTCATCATCAGCACTGCACATCATAGTTTGTGCAAACAGGATTTCAGACATTGTGTCACTTTAAAATAGAACCATATTTTTTCTGTCCTGTAGTTTATTCTGTGTAGTTCCTCTGAGTGAAGCTATGAGGTAATAATACCTAATTATCTTGTAACGCTTGGAGCTACTCATTAATTATATGAAGTATTTGAACTATTGCTAGTCTTGGTATATAGAATTTTTTGGACTTCAGAGCAGTCTTCCTAGCCCCATACTCTACAGCTTTATTTGCATTAATTCCAGTGATGGTGAGAGATTACTGGAGCTCAAGTCCAAAATATGTAGAAGACACCAAGTTGGGGGAAACTGTTCTAGAACCTAATATATGTGTGTGTTTAAGTCAACGTACCAAGATATTACAACTGCTTCATGGTAGGAAAACTGCTAAGAATGTCCTATCCACCTCTGTTATTAAGAGTTTTTTAAACCACCACCACCAAAATACAATGGGCACAGTAGCAGCAGAAGTGCAGTTTTGATTGTACAGAAAGCTTGTGATTATATTAGAGTCACGACAGGTGAATGCAGTATTGTTCTGCTGAAAAAAGGGATCTCCTTTTAAAAGGCTTGTAACTATTGAAATTTGTTCTAAGCAAATAACTGGGACAACTCTCAATTCTCCCTGGTTAGTACTAGTCTGTTTCATGAAGTGCATTTTTTTTCCTGCAAAAAAAAGTTGCAGCAAATGCGAGATAGTTTGGTTAGAAACAGAATCACCTAATGGTTATATTTCAAGCTTCTGGCAAGCCTCACTTACTTGTAGCTCTTATATACACTCATCTTCCTACTCTGGCCAGATTTCCTATGTAATTGGTAGAGAAATCTGAAAGTACAGTACTCAGTCTCCCCCTCCTGCCTCCGGCACTTCTAAATTATTGTTTCAAACAGAAAAGGCAGCCGGGGACTGGTCATGCAGTGAGGAGACAAGCAAGTAGATGGCATCCTTTGCTTAGTGTCATCCCTCGCACAGCCAGGGATGAGAGTGACAAGAAAGGGTTGTTGTGGTCATTTCCCCCTTCTTATTGGAAGGACTCCCCTCTACCTGAGCCAAAGGGAGTTGTTTATGACTGATAGCAATTTTAGTAGTATATAAAATCTTCACATCACCTCATCTTACGCAACAACCTTGGCATTTAAATGTGTCTAAGGTCTAAAACTAGCATTGATTGGTCATTTTTCTGTAAACAATTTCAATTCCATCTTTTAAGGTTTGTGAGATGAAAAAGAGAACAGAGCTCCAGTAAATGAAGTCTCTCAAGGTAGATTAACAGAGCTTTTCTCATTGCTTTTTGTTGCCAGCTAAACTGAAATGTATGGCTGCATTTCAGTCATAACTTCCAAGCAAAGTGCTCTCTGTTTTCTTAATTAGCATGAATCAAATGGGTGGTGCTTCTTTATAGCAACTTATATAGCTATTTTCCAGCCTCAGCAGGAAAACAACATTGTAAGTGAAGGAAGAGGGCATAATATCTCTAATACATTGTAGCTGTATTAGAAAGGATAAAAATGTGGAAGTGAAGGAAGCTAGGTACAGAATCAGCAACATGAGTCAGCAACAGGGATAAAACAAAATATGGAATAGAGGGGAGAAACTGTGGTTTCAAGCTCTGGTCACACATTTTGCTTTCCTTTTTCCTGTCCTCATCTCCTTTTTCTTCTCTGGGGCAATCATCCAGCCTGCCTTGTGATAAGGGCTATCCCACAACATCTGTTGGTCTCTGGCATTAAAAATGCAGGTAATTAGCCCCAGGGTGCATGGGGGGAGTAGGTATGAGAATTAAAAACTTTCAGATAAGCTTCCATGGGTGTGGGTTTACTTTGCAAGAGCAGCTGTCTTAAAAGACCAACCCTGTCAGTGAAAAGCGTGCTTGCATCCTCTGGAAAGAAAAGGCTGGTAAGCCCTTCGCTGGGCTTTTGTGTGATTGTTTCCTTCCACAGCTGTGTTTTTTGAACTGCTCTTCCTGTGTTCTGTTATAGAATAGTCTTACAGGAACCAATCATTAGCGCTAAAATACCTCAGGTAGGAGTGCCAGTGTGACCTGCCAACCAATCAGATTGTGGATTGCAGTGAAAACAAACAAACCCTTGAATTAATACTAACCATTACAGTGCCAAATTAGAGATGGGAACAGAGTCTATTTTTTTTAAAAGACCAGCATACATTTGTGAGCATGTGATCGAAACTCCTGTTTGTCTCAGTGCTGCACAATTACCACTTTCTAAACAAATAAGATGGCTTTCCTAAATAGAAGGCTAGTGACCAAGCAAGCTTTTTGTATTATCTGTATGTATTTGACTGCAATAAAATGGTAAAACACATTTTCTGTTCCATTCGGCATGGCATTTCATGCTTGGCCACCTTGCAGAAAATTTAACAGTATATTACAACCCCTTCTTTTAAAAACTCTTGTCACACAAGAGCTTAGGAGTGCCTGCAATTTTAGGATTTGGGGGGGGGAGTCACCAAAATTATTGGGCTGGTCTCTTTGCTGAAATGTGGTGATAGTCAACAGTATAAACTGTGTCATTATAACACCCAGAGGCAAGAAATTTAGAGCAGAGAATTTCAGCATTGTCCTTGACTACAGACCTGCCTGCAGTTCACTTTGCTTCATACAGTTACACTGTCTTGTACAGCATTTTTTTTATCAGCCTAAGATAATGATACTAGAGGGATAGGGGTGGGGTCATATATTTTTAGGAAAACTGCTACAAAACAAATACCTTTCTAAAACTCCATGAAGACTCATGAATTATACTTCTCCTCCTTAGAAGGTTAAAATGACACACCTAAGCATGGCTTAAATCAGTTCTCACAAGACAATTTTCCCACGTGAGCAGTCCCATTTCCTTGGTTGTATCGTGACAGATCCCAGACAGGTCACCTGCAGTTCCTGTGTTAGAAACAGATTTGCTCCTCCCCTCCCCTTCCAAGACTGAAATTATAAGATCAGGGTCATTTGGTTCGTTCCACTGATGGAACAGTTTTCGTTAACAGAACAAAAAAGGATCACCCCGCAACCCCCCTGGTTCACTATCAAAACATATTCTAAAGCAGTGATTCCTAACCTTAGGTCCCCAGATTACAACTCCCAGAAATATTGGCCAACACAGCTAATGATGAAGGCTTCTGGGAATTTTACTCCCAAGAACATCTGGGGACCACTGCTGTAGAGGGCAAGAGCATACTCTAGAGCGGGGGGTGGGGTGGGGTTGGGTGTTAGGGTGGGGTGGGGAAAGTCTTGGCATACTAGCAGTTAAGTACTAGTATGACCTTGGCTTTAGCCAATGGGAATGGCTCAGTCATAGCACAGATTTTCCAAATCTCATGCTTTTGTACTTCAGTTGTCACCTAACTTGGGAAGACTAATATGGAGAGATGAACTTCACATATCTCTGAAGTGTTTGAGGTTTTAATATGCTCTCCTTTTTTAAGTGAACCAACCAAAGGAAGTAATAAACAGATCAGAACACAGTTACATGTTGTTTTCGTTACTTCTCTAAGTTGTGCAGCATTTGGCTCAAAAATGTACAAAAATGGATTTTTTGGGGGGGGAGGTGTTAATGTGAAAAAATGGATTAAAAATAAATTTTTTGAGATTTGGTCAAAGAGGATAGAACATACTTAACAGATTTTACAGCGAACATACACAAAACTAACATGAACTGGAAACAGACTGAGAAGTTATGCATGTATGGGGACCACTCACGGTTTGCTAAAGTCATGACTATACACATAAAGAACAAATGTGTTGTGTTTTGATATTTACATTGCTAGGAAGCAAAGAAGGAATCTTCCAGCAGATGGTGCTCAAGTATGTTAAATATTTAGAACAGACATCTGTGAGAGAAACAAGACAAGGCATGAGAAACAGAGCTGAGATCTTGTTGTTCTTAAAGTGGGTTGGATGAAAGAGGTCTTATGGACAGCTTCTGTCTCTTACCCCATTATCAACAGCTCGTGTCTGCTGATACTGACGTCCGTATTTCTCCACAATGTCAGTTTTACACACACACACACCCTCTCTTTGTACACAGTGTGTGCATGCACAAACACACAATCAATGGTTGGAGTCCTGTTGCATAAATTATGCTATGTAAGGCCAGTGATGCCATCAGCCATGACAATTTTTCTAGAAATAAAACATTTCTACTCTCATGAAGATTCCAAGATTTCCATGGAACCCCTTTCAATATTGGGGATTGCAGGGCAGAAGGCTTTAGTTACTGAAAATTGCCATGGTGGGGATGTCCTTATTAGTAGTTCTCATTAATTAAAGACTTCTTCCCTATCCTTTTTCATGTGGCTGCCAACAATAAAAGGGATTCCATAGGACTTCAAGATCTTTAGGAGAGAAATCAGATATGTTTAATTTCCCAAAAATGGCTGCAGATGTCATCAACCTTGCATGGTGTAACTTACGGCAACAGGATTTGAACCAACAATTCCTGTTCTATATGAGATGGTTCTGCAACGTGAAAGCTCCAGTGCATATTGGTATAATAAAAATTACATAATTTGCTGAGTTCTCCATGACAGTTGTTCATTACCCCACATCTAAAGTAAAGTATGAAAAGTTAACATGGCCAAATTATAACTGTACTCAAAAGCGTCCCTTAATAGCTCACATAAAATGGTAGCTTTGACTCAACACGAAACTGCCTCATTTTTCTTAAGATTTTGTGCTCATTAAACAAGATACTGAAGCCTCATCCTAGCTCTCCAGCCAAAGGGTTCTTTTCTGCACCTTTGGTTCCTGAATTCTAGCTTACCTTCACTCTTATCTCTTCTCTTGCCCTACAGAAAGCTGTAGGGTTTGGTTCAGTGTATTTTTGCTACGCTACTCAAGGGATATTCAGTGCGACTTGACACATGGCAACCCTGCAGCAAGTTGGTAGGGCTCTCTGTGTATACAGATGATGAAAAAAGGATTGGTAAAGACAGCTCCTAACTATACTTGAGACCCAAAATGCCTCTCAGCGAACTCCATTCTAAATGAAACTAAACTTCACTTTTCTTGGCTTACTAAATCAGCATTTGGGTACCCCTTATCATTCTCATGTATTGTTTCATACTGAAGCAGATAACTGTGGAGAGCCATTTTCCTTGTATATTACTCATGAAACATTCACAGTTGTGCACACACCAACTCTGCTTGCTTCCTTTAATAAAGGTTTGAGTGTTCTCTTGTTTGTAGGGAAAAGGTGTCTAGCATCACATGCTCACAGTTGCCCAGTTGGTTTTGAAAGTGAAAACAAAATGATGAATACCTTTTAGTTTATTAAAATAGTGGATTTGGTGTAAAGCACCTAAACATTGGAATTATAACATTTTAAACATGTTTTCCTTACTGTATAGCAACACAGAAATATGGAACAGTTGGTCATGGGCTGTCCCTTTCGCTGGTTGACAGGAACACTCTATAAATTGTTTTAAACAATGTCCTGTAGCAATTAGGAATAAATATTCCACACAATCTAATATGAGTGGCTGCAGAATAATGCAGAATGTTCTTTTAGACAGAGCTTACAAAATTTACTTTCTGGACTATAACTCTCAGAATCTCTTATACAGCATGGCTATTGAATTTTTGGATTTATAACCCCTCCCTAAAAAAAAAAAAAAATCCCAGGCTTTGCTTTGATGGGATGCATGGATGGAGAGAACAATATGGTTCTTGTAAAGTAAGCTAAAGGGTAGGTCCTATTTATTAAAACTGTAGGAATAGGAGTTACAAGTGGCTTGAACCAACTCTTTCGAAATTTGAACAATTTGACAGTGCAATATAGAAGCCTCCAAAACTTCAGATAATCAAAAATTCCTGCTGAGTAAACAAACAGGTGCTAGAATTTGTTCATACACATCTAAAACTCAAAGAGTGGGGAAGAAATAAGGAATGTTAATTCATTCATTCTTATTCTTGTTGCCTTATGACCTGTTAAATTTCAAGCAGGCATCATCATCCGCCCAAATTACCTTTTGTACCATCCTTGCTCTTTATTGAGAAGGAAGTTGGAACTAATTTGTAATGCCAACCATTGATTTTATTTAATATATACATATATAAGAATTTTGCAAACTTTTAACATCACACAGGTTGCTCATTCCATACACATACATCATTTATTTTATATTAACAATTTCACATCTGCATCAGTGCATGTTTACCAGAGAATACACATCAGCTGTTTTTAACTTCGTTTTTCCAATTATTTTTCTTTTCTTTTTTGTTTGTTGTGCAGTCAGCTGAAGAAATGTTAACATCTCGCTCTAAATCTCTCAGTGGAGTCTCTGTTCCCTTCTCTGATATAACAGATGGGTTATTGCTTGTTATAATTATTAACATTTGTGGTGTGAGACAGGGTTAGGGTGGGAGTTCTCTTTTTAAAAAAAAACATTTGGGGGTATTTTTGGGAATTATTTAAGGTTTGGAATGTTAACTTCAGTGGTGACTGACTGTTTCTGTAATAGCAGGTCGTTGTGGCTGCACGCTCTAGTAATGAGGCTGTGTACTTCACCGAGCTTGTGGTAGAGCCTAGGGCGAACTGCTGTCCCAAGAGAATGCTGGGATAGATAGAACTAGCCAATATGAGTCTGAACGTGGTGATTTTGCTGGTTGTTTTTAGTTCCAAATGTCAGCATGCTTAGTTTTGTTTTTTGTTTTTAAATTTGATTAATAAATGTTACACCATTCCCCCTCCTTCCCCTGATTCCAGTCCCTCTTTCCTTTATAAGAAATGCAAGTTAAAGAGACGGAAATGAAAAAAAAATCCTTAGTTTCAAACTGCATCTCATCCTCATGTTCACAATTATTCTGAACGCAACTGATTATCTCAAATGTCAGTAGAAACAATATTTTGGGAAGGCAGCTCACTGGGCACATTGTGAGACAAGCTGCTCAGCGGTCCCTGTTGCCAAGGACATACATCTGAGCATGTCTGAATGTCACATGTGTTGATAGTTCTACAGCCTGATTTTAAGAACAGAAAATAATAGCAGCAAATGTGTAGCATGAAAGTTTACTGTGATCTGCCCCTTTCTGTAAAAATTTCTTTCATTTGCCCATGAGCAGCACAATGGGATTAACAAGGAACTAAAACTAAGGTATTGGAAGACTCAGAGTTGTAACTTCTCACTGTTCAGGGCAGGTGGCAAGAATAGGAACTTTGCTATCCCATTTTTTTTCTGCTGAAGCAGAGGGCTTGAAGTGATCCCTATTGTCAAAGGCACAATTGACCCAGTTATTAAGTAAATCTACTTGCATGTGTATTGAGGAGGGGCCCTCTCCTAACTTTCAAACTCAAAAGGTGAGTTATTTTACTAAAAGAATGGAACAGTTCAATATTCTTCAGTAATTACTGGTTCTTCACTCTCATAATATCAAGGGTTTTGAAGATACCACAACATCCACACTGATTTTGCATTTGCAATAACTGTACTGAACACATAATTCATTTTTATTTTCTCCTTAACTGTACAATGACTATAGTAAGGTCTCAAAACATAAAATGAAAATTGTAATTGTTATTCAAAGTTTTGTATGTTAAAGAGGAGCTTAAATATACTTCTACAGTATGTTTTACAGTCTTTACAGCTAGCTCACTTGGGTAGATGGTAGGTGCAATGTTAGCCCTAAAGAACAAAAAATACAAAGAAGATAAAATGGTATATTTTACTAAGCCAGATTAAGTTGATGGCAGATGTATAGATGTTTAGGAGTTGCGTAGAAATCTTACTTATATATCATAACAAAACTGTTTTATAAGGCTTATGTCTTCTTGTAGCCTACTGACAAAATGTACAAATTATCTGGCCATGCCATCTTTTTGTTAATGAACACAGTCTCAAGCTGCTTAGGATCTGCTATCTGAGCTCCTGCTTTGATTATCCCATTTGAATGACTATTGTGATGGGATTTTCTGAGACAAATCCATTTTTTCTATTCTGTGGGAGGTTCCTATTTCTGAAGCTCTCTAGCTCTCTCTCTCTCTCTGTGTGTGTGTGTGTGTGTGTGTATGTACATGAGCATGCACACAAACACATTATTTCTCTCTTATGCAATTGATCCACTGAAATTGGAGTCAAAAGATACTGGTTTTGTTCTCCCCCCCCCCTTATGAGCAACTACAGGATTTTTGTGCTTTGAAGAGTTAGTTTTTATTCCCAAAGCAATAAACGGTTCCCAAAGCTTTATTATAATAGTTTTAGTGATGAAACAGGATCATTCTATAAAGTCCATTCTGCTACCTTGCAGGTCGGGCATTAGAAGGAAGCCATAGTTGTGCCTCTCTCCATTATGAATTATCTTCCATGGGACCAACATATTAAATACTATACAACAGTACAGTATGAACTGTACAATATTAATTGTTCAGAGTGTTTCAGATTAGGATAAACAAGTCAAAAGTGGTTGCGTAAAAGAGAAAGGGAGAGATAAAGCTTGTTAAGTTAAATAGGTTAACAGCATATACAGAGCAGAGGTGAAACAAAGGCAGTCGAAAAAAAGTTTTGTAAAAGATTTGCGGGTTTTGTTCCTTAAATGAAAAAAAAAAAAAGAAACAGAAAAACATAACTGACTAGGAAGGCCAAGATTTAGAGCCTGATACCCTGTTTCCGTGAAAATAAGACCTAACCTAAAAATAAGCCCTACTGTGATTTTTCAAGATGCTCGTAATATAAGCCCTACCCCCAAAATAAGCCCTAGTTAAGTGAAAGCCCACCCTCCACCACTGTGCAGTAACCAAAAGAAGAATACATGACTGTATTTAAATAAACCTAGATTGTACATGAAAAAAATAAAGCATCCCCTGAAAATAAGCCCTAATGTGTTTTTTGGAACAAAAATTAATATAAGACCCTGTCTTATTTTTGGGGAAACACGGTATTACCTGAAAGAATCAGAATATGAAAAAAATCCTAAGCAGGGGAAGGTTTTGTCCTAATAATGAGTACCTGAAATGTATGTGTTTCCCCTGCCCTAAAGTCATACTGAATTGATTGAAAAAGTGGGGGAGGAGGAAGTGGCAGGAGAAAAGTGGAGGTACAGTGATGCCTCACTTAACGATTACCTTGTTAGATAACTAAACCACTTTATGATGGAGTTTTTGCGATCGTTATTGCGATCGCAAAACAATGTTCCTATGGGGAAAATCGCTTAACGACGATCGGTTCCCTGCTTCGGGAACTGATTTTTCACTAGACGACGATTTTAAAACAGCTGATCGGCGGCTCTAAAATGGCCTCCCGCTGTGCAAAATTGCGCCCCACTGTGCTTTAGGACTGATTCCTCGCTTTACAGGCACCGGAAAACGGTCACCCTATGGAGGATCTTCGCTGGATGCTGAGGTATTTAGCCCATTGGAACGCAGTGAACCGGTTTTCAATGCATTTCAATGGTTTTTTAAATTTCGCTTGACGAGGATTTTGCTTAACAGCGATTTCAACGGAACGGATTATCCTCGTCAAGCGAGGCACCACTGTATAGTGATATGGTGGCATATGGGACTTGATCTTGAGAGCTTGCTTTTCATATTTCATTTCAATGCATTTTTCTCTATGGAATTCTGTCAGAGACTGCCCTCAGCTTGTAGAAGTGTTTGTAAATTAATTATGAGTTACAGGCCTCAGAAACCTCCCTTCGATTACTCAAGACTGCTGTGGACAGCTCTTTTCTCTTTGACTTTATCTATGAAAATATCACTATTTACTAACTTCCCTTAGAAATTGTAGTGTTGACTCCTTTTCCGCTGTGTTGCACCCATTCTTAGTTCTGGCCACCCCAAAAGATGGGAGCTAAAAAGTCAGTGACCTGAAATATTTTGCATTTTATAGCCTCTGTTGAGGAGCAGGATTTGAACTCCTCAACTTTTGCCCTCGAAATAACAGCAATACATTAGGAGAATCTCTGAGAAGATTAGTTTTGTCAAATTCTGGTAAAATAATGATGGAGAGGGTACTCTGTGACATTTTCTGTAATGACACTTCCCCAACACTTTCTGTAATGCTTAAGGTCAGGATGGACTGAGGGAATGTTTCTTTACTTGTTATTTATTACCAGTTCATTATCCTGCGGAGGCTACCATAGCAGTGGCTCGTCCATCTGAATTGCCTGACAGAGACTTGCTGTAGGTTACAGGATCCCCACCCCCACCCCTTGGGCAGGGAAAAACCCAAAATGTACATGAAGATTTTCAGGATTTATCATGACGTGGGAGCTGATGCAGTTTGAAACTTTTTCCTTTCTGTTTTGTGTGTACAAGTCTGCTTTGTGTGAGGAGACAGGTATCTATAAAGTCAGTTCTCTTCTTTCCTGCAGGGTGGATATGCAGCATACAGATATGCACAGCCTGCTACCGCAACAGCAGCCACTGCTGCTGCAGCCGCTGCAGCGGCTTACAGCGATGGGTATGTAAGGAAAGGATGGTTCTGGTATATCTGGGAATCATTTGTATTTTAACGCCATTGCCCCATGTTCTCCTACATAATTTGGATGCTAATTTATAAAGCAGGATTCCCAATAGAGTTTCGTAGCCATCGGGACTTAGGAGGCTGGTAATGGCCATAAGCAACAACCAGGATTTATGGTTCTGTGTGAAAGGCATGATTTCAACTTGGCCATTTCTGGGAATCATCATCCAAAAAGTGATGCTTTCATGTTTGGGCCCCAACCCTTCTAGCAAGAGTCCTCTGCTCCCTTCCTCTCAGTAGCTATCAATCTAAAATTTATCATCTCCCCAATGATTCTTCAGTCTACTTCCTGAAGTGGAACTTTCCTGCTTAACTCCACCAGAACACCATCTTGGAAGAGAGTTGAAAAGTTTCAGTTTCAGAATTTTCTTCAGTCAGCTTGGGAGATGGGGGAGCAGGCAGGTCTGCAGCTGTTCTGACTTCACTCCTGTTTAGTCAGCCCATGAACAGTGCCAATGGGCTGGTTTAACATCTGCTGGCAAATATTCTTAATGTGCCTGTATTTCACTGTGGGGATATAGTTGCAAGGCAATCAGAGATGTTTTTATGATAAGCTTTGTATGGCAGGGCAGAGTAATTTTCATAATTAAGGCAGATTTACAAGTTACAAAGCATTTGCATGGATGTACAGTTTGTGTAGCTTTCACTCTTACTTGGTACCTTTTACTTTAAACACTTCTCACATCATTCTATTGGGCAGTACTGTGGCACCAGCCGGCCCTAACACCAGTAGATACTTCTTCCTCACTTGCACCATAGTGGGCTCTGGCTGCCTGGGGAGCTCATTGGTGTTCAGGTGGAAAGCATGTTCTTTACCTCATTACTTCCAAGGCTTATTCAAGTTTATTGACATAGATCAATCAGTTACAGCTCTTGTGAATTTAAAGTCTTGCAGGGTTAAGAGAGTCTTTTGAAGTGTAAAATCATGAGCAAGTATTGTGTGGAGAGAAACAGCAGCTTTCCAGTAAAGATTAAAACATGCTTGCAGTGTCAGTGTGAACTAAGGAGTTACTTAGAATAAACCTTTTAAATACTTTCTAAAAATTTAAATTTACCATATGGGGACTCATTATTTCTGGATACAAAGATACTGGCACCTCTGCATTTCAGCCTAATGGTTCCCTCTGGAAATGAGCTGGATATAGAAGAGAAGTGAGTGGGAGGAGGACTTTCACCTTTCTGTATCTTCTGATGACAAATATTCCTTCGAAGCCTTTCTGTTAAGTGAGATTTCCCCCCTCCCCTCCATCTTTCCTCAGTTATGGCAGAGTGTACACAGCAGACCCTTACCATGCCCTTGCCCCTGCTGCTAGCTATGGAGTTGGCGCTGTGGTGAGTATGACCTTCTCTATCTTTCACCATGATGTGTTTTCACGAAAAGACTTTTGCCTGCTGTCATAATCTATTGTTAACTCTGTGTTTCCTGCAGTAACGGTAGCATCAGACATGTTTGTTACATGGGGAACCAGGAGAAAGGTGGCAATCCACCTTGTGTGTGTGGTGTCTGAGGGCATGATAAAAATAGGATAGCAAGACAAATGTGTGACAAAATAACACCCATACAATCTCACTGAAGGGAATGCTGCAGGTAAATCCCCAGACAGCAGGTGAAGTCGAAACACAGTTGCTCATGAAGATTCCCAGATGGGGTCTCAAATAGTCACCCTCAAATTATTTATTCACCTACAGTGTCTCTTGACAACATTGAATCAAAACCTTATTTCCTTTGTTCATATCCAATCCTGTTTTTATGAACAGTACGTACATACAGTGGTACCCCCCCATAGCGATGTTAATCCGTTCCAGGATTAACGTTGCTATCCGGATTCTTCATCTTTTCCCCCAGCTGGGCGGCGCAGGCTTTGGAGGGACCATGGCGGAAACCCTCCCCCACGATCGCTCCGAAGCCTTCTTCCCCAGCTGGGCGGCGCAGGCTTCGGAGGGACTGTGGGGGAAAACCCTCCCCCGCGGTCGCTCCGAAGCCTTTTACCCCAGCTGGGTGGCACAGTTTTCGGAGGGACCGTGGCGGAAACCCTCCCCCGCGGTCGCTCCGAAGCCTTTTACCCCAGCTGGGTGGCACAGGCTTCGGAGGGACCATGGGGAAAACCCTCCCCCGCGGTTGCTCCGAAGCCTTCTTCCCCAGCTGGGTGGTGCAGGCTTCGGAGGGACCGTGGCGGAAACCCTCCCCCGCGGTCGCTCCAAAGCCTTTTCCCCCAGCTGGGCGGCGCTGGCTTTGGAGGGCACCCTGTGGTCCTTCCAAAGCGCCCGCTGGTCAGCTGGGGGAAAATGGGGCCTATGGAGAAAAATCGCAAAGCAATTTTTCCCCATAGGAAACATCGCAATGCGATCGCTTTTGCGATTGCAAAATCCGCATCGCTATGCAGATTCGTCGTTAAACGGGGTGCTCATTATGCGAGGCACCACTGTATTAAATTGCTGAAGCCAAGTCTTGATTTGAACTGGGCATTGCTTTATTGAGTCTGTTTGAGCTGTAGATCATCATTTCAAGTGGGTTCATTTGAAAACTGAGCCATAGCACACAACTACCTTTGTTTTTGCCTTCAAGCTTTTCCAGGTTTTCTGCAAGGAGCAGTTTGTCTCTGGATATTATTCTATCACTCTGACCCTGTAACCTGGTTTGCATCTGGCTTTAATTCATGTATGCATAGTTCCTTTATGTTGGTACTAGAATATCCATTTTGTTTCTTGTAAATAAACTGGCTTTCACACTGAAGAAAGCCAGTTTCCCTTAGAGCAGGGTTAAGTGGGGGGGGGGACTCCCAAACAAGAACAGTAGGGTCAAACCTTATTGCAGATATCTAGGACTAAAGATTCATCATCTACAAGTTTTAGAAAAGTCTTTTTGGACTGAAGCCCTTAGAAATCTCCAAATAGCTGTAGCTGTGATGACTCCCAGTGATGCAGTCTAAAAAGCGTATTTTCCAAGGTCTGAAACACCCTTTTTGAGCCTGGGCATTGAAAGACCTGTGCTGAAGGTTAGTTGGTGCTTGAAGAAAGAGCAGCTCAGAAGGCAGAAGTTTCTGTAGTTTCTTTAAACCTCTTGGATTTTGAGAAAAAGACATTGAAAGTGTTGCATCTTTTTTCCAAAACCTCTAATTGTCCCTTTCCTTTCTCCATTAACTTCTGCAGGCAAGTTTATACCGAGGTGGCTACAGCCGATTTGCCCCTTACTGAAGTGACGTGAGCCCCCCTGCAAGTGGGACAGACCCCCAGTTCGTGAGGCCTGGCTATTGCAATATTTACTAGTAGAGGAACTCTATAGCAAGAAGAGGAGGAAAACAAAAGAAAAAAAAAACACAAGAGAAATACTTTTTTATACCTCACTATGTTCTTTGAATATGTATTTTTTTTTCCTTTAAATTTCTGCCTTTAATTCTTTTGTTCCAAAGATTGTGCATTTTGGGGTTTTTTTTGGTGTTTTTTTTAACTGTGGTAAACAATGCATTTCCATGTCTGTATATGCGTAGCTTATCCTACCAATCAGAAAAGAGATAAACAGTGCTGAGGAGCACCATTAGGAACCAGTATCATGGAATTAAATCAGGAACCTGCAGGCATTTATTTGACCTGGGACTGATGCCTGCGTGATACAAGAGGAAGCACCCCTCTCCCTGTGGAGAGCCATGCTAAATGGCTGCAGCTGGAACCTGCACGCTGGTTGGAAACATGCATGTCCCCTCCTCATTTTATTGCCACCTGGCAAACGAGGGCTCAGGACAGTTCTAGAAGCATCAAGATATTACTGTTTTCAAGACAATGCTCCTCGATGCTGCCCAAAGACTTTGTCTGTTAATGGTTTTAGAGGACAAGACTTGAATATGTGATCTTATTGCTTCAATACACCTTATTTTAGTAATTGTTATCCACCACCAAGTTTCTTTCTTAGTTTTTTTCACTTGCTATGGTCTTCCTCTCTTCCCGCCTTCTCCCTCTTTTCTTTGCTGGAGGAGCAGCAGATGTGGGACAATGACTACAGAACCTAAAGCCATGATGGAGAGAGATCTGTTGGAGACAGGATCTGATGACAGAGTTGTGACATGCTCTGAACAACAGTGGGAAAACTTTGCTCCAGTGCCACTCTGAGCTATTGAGATCTCCCAGTGTTCAAGACTCTCTTTTTCACCTTGAGATCATTAGCTTTGCTCAAAATCTGCCACTGTAAAAATGCATGAAAAGAGAAACTTGTGTCCTGATTCGTGATACCAGAAAAGTGATGGAGGCGGTAGAGAGGATTTCTGTGTGATAACACTATTCTGGAAGTCATCCTAGTATAGCTTTGGCTTCCAGAGGGCAGGCAGAAATGTATTCTGAAACACAGTTTAAGAACAGAAAACACTTTCTCCTTGATGTGCAACACAGAACCTTTATTTGGTTGTCTGTTGCCCTTCTGGAGGGGAATCCGTATCCAGACTTCTCAGCTTCGGTGCGTACTTCAAATTGTGAGCTGAGAGGCGCTCCAGGAGGACTCCTATGTTCCAAGATTGTTCCCTTGCATTTTTTAAAAATCATATATGGAATGCCCTTTATTTTATGCAATTGGGTGTCTTGTAAGTTGCTACAGAAGCATGCATGTGACAACACACAAGCCACCGCTCTCAAGTATCTGCAGCTAATTTTGGAAATCAACTAACAGAAGAGATCTTGCATTAGCCTCTCAGCTTCCATGAGTCTCTCGGCACTTCTTGCAGATTCTCTGCAGCATTACCTTTAAAACCCTACAAGTTAAGAAAAGCACAATTCCCTTTGACTCCTTAGCCTGCCTAAATTGGTACTAAATTGGAAGGGCGGCTAAGGGGGTGGACTTGCAGATGAAGCCTTCACAGCTCCTGTCATCATTTGCCTGCCGTTCATGTCAATATAGGAAGGGAGACATCCTGAAATACTTCAGTGAACAGAGTTGCTGAGGAGGAGCTCAATGGCCCAACCTCAGACAGCTGCCTTTTTTCCTCTTTCTCATATTGTGCCCTCTCCACTGCTTGTCATAGAGCACCGAGGATGTTAGAGAGAATACCTGAAGCAGGAAGGCAGGGGAGATGTTAATTACGATCAAGACTCTAACTCTGTTGGTTTTCTGGAACATGGTAACACCAAACTGCCAGCCTGTTGGCCATTTTTTGTTTCTCTTGTTTTTCAAGCCAAAGTTTGGTTTGTTGCTGTTATGACAATTTCTGTCGGTGGTTTCTTTGTTTCTGTTTGTTTGTTTGTTTGTTTGCTTGTTTTTGATATATAAATATTTTAGTTAGTTTGAAAATGGGGGAGAGGGGAATGGGGGTGTCCAGGCTTTCACGCAAATCAAGGAAATGAAGAAGGAACAATTTTTCTGGCCTGCACAAATGTTGTAGTGCCATGTTCACCAGGTAGCCATTTTCCTTAGAAGGCAGGTGAGGACAGAACTGGATTTGATTCCTGCCTGGGGAATGAAATACAGGAAAGGCTTCTAAACTGAGTTAGCTACTGTGTGAGAGGAGGAGCGTTCTGTTAAAATTATGGAAAAAGATGGTGCTTGCATAGCTCTACCACCATTGCTGAGTCAGCTGGGTGTCTTATATTGAAAATATCAAAGACTGCGGATACCAGAGGATGTTCTGGAATGTATAATCCTTCTGTTAAGTGCTAGGCCAAAAAGAGTCAGTAGCACATCTCTTACAAAATAGTTTCAGGTATGAGAATTGGCCACCCTGGTTCTCCCTTTAAACTGCATCACCAGCTTGCAGGGTGACTTTACCTTAGGCACTTTCCCCCTCCCTGTTTTCATATCTGTACAATTGGGAGAATAAAGCATCCTTACTTTTGTGAAATAGTAAGATACATAGTGAAGAAAAACACTACTATTGTCTCTCCCAGTTAGTAACCAACAAGCCAATGTTGTGTTGTAACTGTTTTTAGCAAGATACAGTTTACCCCTTGGTTTCTAAAGCAGCTGAGATGGCTTAATAGAGGTGGATGCAAAGTTAAGGCTTTGCAAATCCTCCCCCAGCATTCCTGTTATAGAGGTCCTGGAGGTGTGGAAAACAAATTTGGGTGGTGTGCATTTTGTTGTATTGCACCCTTAAAATGAGAGAGTTTGCAAGCAGGGTAGGAAACAGAAAGCTGCTTATCACCTTCCAGCATGCCAGCATGTAAGGGATCTTGAGCACTGGCAGGATGAGGCAAGGAAGAGAGATTTTAACAGTGTGTTGCCTATTTGCACTGGTTTTAAAATAGGAAAAAGAACAGCCAGTGATAAAATCTTGTGCATTTTTAATTCTGTCATGCTCTTGAGAATGTAAAATATGTTTGTAGTATACAGCAGCATACTTTATTATTTGTTGGATATAAAACACTATTTTGATGATGTTACTGTCTAAAGAGTCCTGACCCCATTTCCTACTCTAGCCACTATTTGGAAGCTGCTTTTTATTTACAGCATAATAAAACTAAACCTTTAGTTACTGAGGCAAGCTGTCTTCTGGTAGTTAGAGTGAAACTGGTCTTTCCAATGAATTTCTCCCTCCCTTGTTAATTCCAAGACTTGGAGTATATAATGCCTGTCCCTCCCCTGTGAAGGAAACTGCAAGATGTTCATGCTCATAGCTGTCTGTTATACCCAACCATGGGGGAAAGGACAGGATGGAAGCCTTGAGATCTCCTGTAATATTTATGCCCAGCTGATATTTCTAGACCACGGCGAGCTAGAGATTAATTTGGAGAATCTCTAGGTGAACAACCTAAGCACTGCCAGCTGAAAAATAATAGAAGCTGGGTTTAAAAGCCTGCTTGTTAGCAGTTGCAATCTTTCCTGCCAGTTTTCCCCTTAAAGCCGTCCACTGGAGTATTGTTTGGCTCATCTATATTATGTCACTTAGTTAACGGTTAATATTTTTAAAGCAAATTGGAAGCCCCCGCTTCAGTTTTCTCTCTTTAAGATGGAACACTGAAGTGTTGTTTGCTGCTTTTTGAGAAGCAACAGTCAATGAATCTAGCCGACATATTCAGTACAGTTCTATATTGTGGTTTTGGCCACTCATTTTACCTGGAGCCTAATAAGTTATCCCTCCAGATATTTACTTTGTTTTATTTCAAAATTAATTTTGTAAATAGCTGAGGCAAAGTCCTGACCCAAATAGCAAATGTAAGACTCCTGTAGGAGCAGTACCAAGATGACTTAAGAGTTTACTTGATCCACTTAGGTTGGCTTGTAGTAATACTTGGCATTTGTCAGTGCAAGGCCTAAAATGGCCCAGACTGATTTGCTCCTTCATGCAGTGTCTCTCACACCTCTCCATTGCCAGGTACCCTTGGGACATAGGATGCAGTATAGCTAGATGCTCTCTCCTCCTCTGGATGATTTCCTTGGATGTTTAAGCTGCTTGACCAGAGTCTCATTTCTCTGTGGACTCTTTACGAAAGAGCAAAAACATCCCAGGAGTTTGTGGCAGTCTCGTAAGATTCCCCCCCCCCAAAACCTCGTTTAAGTATCATATTGTACAGTAGCTTTCAAACCATACAGTATTCATTGGGTTACTCTTATTATTATCAAGTAGCTGGAATTGTGAAGGTCGGAGTAGTTAGATCTTTAGCTTTTATTCCTTTTTTTGTATTACTATCCATGTGTATAAATTATTGATCATGTTGCTGGCTTTTATAAACTCTAAGCAAGGGAGGAGCCCTTCCTCACCCTTTGCGAATGGTAATGAAGCACTGTTTTTAAATAAAAGAGAGAAACACAACTCCTGAACTCAGTCTTTGTATTCCAAGCTGCTGCAATTAAAATGTTGTGTGAGTCCTTATTCCATTCCTTTTTTCCTTTAGAGGTAACTTTTTCTGACATGATGTGGAGAACCAGTCTCGCTCATTTCAAGAAATATTTGGTTGCGCGGGAAAACCAGATTTCATGATATCAAAGTGTATCAGAAAACAAAAAAGACAACAAGAGACAAAAACATTATGGCACCTTAAAAACTAATTGCTATAATTTTTTGTGACCTTTTGGGGCATTTGTACAGAAGCTTATGTTAAAATATAGCAGTTCTTAAGATGCCTCAAAGTTTTTGGCTCTTGTTTTTTGTTTTGCTTTTTGTCAGATAAGGTTATATTACACAAAATAGACCATATCTTGGCATCATTACTTTTTGGGGAGTTGCAGTCCAAAAGGTTCAGTTTGTCACTCTGTGCTAGACAAGATACAGGATCATACCATCAGAATAAAAGGGGGGGGGAGGATATTCACAATTCTGCATGTGTGCCTTTTGAGCTCTGCAATATTAGCCCTGGTCAGGTGTTCTTATGTTTTTATATTCAACACACAAGGAAGTGGGATGCATAAACCTCCCTCCACCAGTTTTGTTGTGTGAAAGATGACAGGACTAAAGAAAAAAGAGTCATTTATTCATGAAGAGACAATGTAAGCCAGAACACAGGAAAATACTAGTTCTTTCTGGCTTTTATGGAGAGGCTCCATGAGCAGGAAAAGCTCTCTTCTTTGGGCCCTTCACTTTACACATGTGCAAAGTGACAATGGATAGGGCTCAATACACTTCATTCCTTGTGTGTTGAGGATGTGTTGAAGGATACATGAGTTAGGGTGATTTCAACGGTTTTCCAAGGCCAGCTTACAATTTGCAAACAAAAGCACAGTGTTATCAATATCCAATTATTAAAAATTACTAAATAAAAAGACAAAGGAGCTCAAAATAACTAATAATTAGCACAAAAATCCCTAAAAATTCTTGAAATAAGATAACATGATTATCTAACAGAACTTGAATTGAAATAATGCTGTTAAGGCTTTCCTAAAAGAAGATAGGAGAAGGGCAGACATATATCTTTGTGGGAGACAGTTATATAGGTAAGGGGTTATCTTGAAAAACCACATCTCATTTATGAGCTCAAAACTTCTCGATCTGCTGACAAGTCTGAAAACAGCCTTTTGTAGGCCTAGAATAGTTTGTGTGGTCTGTCAAATAACTTGCTCCAAGTCATTTAAGATTTTAGAGGTCAATACCTGTACTTTCAGTTGGATTCAAAAGCAGCAGCCATTTGGCATTTCTGACTTCAGACAGAAAATGGATTTCGGAGGGAGGATGTGTACCGATAGAGACTTATGGAAACCATACCCTGCCTGAGTAGATTTAAGATGATGGCCTGTGAAATGGTGATTACAACCAAATGGAAAACAAGATGTGGAACACTTGCAGTTCAAAGGCAGTATGTTTTGGGTACAGAAAAACCCGGGGTCATTTCCCAGTATTCGCTGTTAAACAGTAATATCTCTATGAGACCTTATAAAACAGTAGCTGCTGAGAGAAAAGGTGACTGGGACAGGTGAAGTAAACATTGTTTTCTGTACTGGACTTCTCCCTGTGTTCATGGTTTGTGAATTATAATGTGTGAGAGTCAGTAGTGGGTAGAGTACTGGTATATATAGGTCCATCAACACTGGAATTGTTGACACTATCTAGCAGCAGCTCTTAAAAATCTGGGGGCAATGTTCCTTCCCAGTCCTTTCAGGAGATTAATGTGGGAACATTGAAACTATGTGTTCTGCTATGTGATGGTTTCAAGAATCTTAATGAACATGGGGGATGTAGCTATTTATATCATATACAGCAGATGGGAGGATCATTACAAGAACCCTTCCTCTTTGTTTCATTTCTATTATATATATACTTATATATAATAAATTTATGTAATTTGTGAGAGCCAGTAGTGGGTAGAGTGTTGAATTAGGGCTTAAAAGAGAGTTCAAATCCCTGTCCAGCCATTAAACTCACTGGATAACCTTGGGACAGTTGCACATTCAGCTTCATAGCCTTCTGGAGATAAAATAGGGAAGAAAGCCAAGCATGGTTGTTGTGGGTTTTTCGGGCTCTTTGGCCGTGTTCTGAAGGTTGTTCTTCCTGACGTTTCGCCAATCTCTGTGGCCGGCATCTTCAGAGGACAGCAACCAGAGAAAAACCCAGAACATTCATTAGATCCTGGCCGTGAAAGCCTTCACGAATATAATGAAAGCCAAGCATACTGTCTTGTGCACATTGAAGGACGTGGGGATATGAATGTAACAAGTGTAAGGCTGACCTTTGGTGGTGGCTACTTATCAGCTCTCAAACAGCCATGAAAACCCCTCTCCCCTAACCATGGCTAGAGAAAGGCTGGAGGGATGCGCAGTTCTGGGGGAAAAAAAAACATTTTCCTAAGATGTGATTGCCTTGCAGAATTTGGGGAATAAAATTGCTGTGGCTCCTTTGCCTTAAAGATGAGACAATTAACCTCTCCTAAACAGATGTTAAATGTAAACAGATTTCCATTCATAAAAGTGCTGTGAGATGAGCATGTTGAAGGTGCTTTTGCTTATAAAGTGGTATTCACTGAAATATTAGCATTTTTCAAGCTGATAAGCTTAATAACAAATTCAGCAGCAAATTACACTACTTGGAAACAGCTTTTAAAGCAGAATGATTCTTGAAATTACTGGAGATATCATCAGCCTCGCATACACTGAGTACACAGAGGTTTTGTAGCACCGCCATCTGGTGGCATATTTAAACACTTAGTTAATGGAGGGGGAAAGGCTGGGCCAGGAGAAGAAAGAGGGGGGGGGACATACTTTTTGGACTATGCATCCTAGATTCTGCCCCCAGATGGGGAGAGTGTTGGAGTGGCAGTCCAAAAATGAATGAATGAATTACTAGCAGCTCCTCATGCCAGTTTCTCTAACTGAATGTTCTTATGCTTCTGCATGTTATGTAGTAAATTAGTATATACTGGAGGCCCGCAGTTTCTCTTTCTTATTTACCAAAACGAGGCTGTGAGAAATCCAGCTTCAACTTCATTCATTGTTCTGCCCTTTCTCTAAGGAGCTTAGATTGTACTTGATCTTGCCATATGCAAAAAGCTTCATTTGGGCTATCATCAACTTTGGATTGTTTTCATATTCCTTTGTCTTGTTGAAGTGGCAGATATTGTTGCAGTTGATTCTCACAAGGACCTGGGAGGTAGGTAAGGTGAAGAGAAAATTACCCTGACCACACTTGTGAATATCATTTTGAACCTGCTCTGCCTGGTCTAAGTCCAAGGCTTTATCTGCTGAATCAAATGCTTCACTTAAATAAAATATAATTCAACAGGCATCATAAGTTTCACCTACCTCATGATATTGAACAGACCACTTTATGCTATTTGAAATAGGCAACTTTCTATGGAAATGAGTCAGTGAAGTCTTTTCTGCAGCAGCCATGTTTAACGTGTGACCAGTGGTATGTGAAATCTTTGGGGGGGTCATAGTTAATTCATGCGTTAGGCTGCTTTCCCATTTCCCACCCCCTTGTTGAACTTATGGATGCTGTTGTTTGTGAGTTCACAATGCATTTATAGTTCAGTTGAGATGCTATAAGTATCAGCAAATATTTGTTCTAATTCACATTTGGAAGCCGGGTGGTGTGACATGTTTTATAAAACAAGGAAGTGCCCCTTTCAGTCTGTGGATGTTTCAGGTGTATCTTGTGAAAGAAGCCTTAATAATTCTATGGATTTCTCCCTGTTAAGGTTACTATGCTAGACCTTGCATCTGTTGCCAGTCTACCTGTCTTTGATGCCATTAGCCACCCTTTGCGATGGTGTTTGCTGCCATTTAACTACATACATCTGTAGTGTCTTTCTTGTTGCTGTGTTCTGCCAAATCACTTCTGACTTAAAGTGACCTATTGGTGACGTCCTAAAGGCACCATAATTAACAGTTCTGCTTAAGTGTTGCAAACAGTCTGGGCGGGGTGGGGGGTGGAGGTGTGCTCAATCAAGATGCTGAATTTGCATTTGTGTTTCACTGTTCATACACACATAGCAGGATAAAACATGGACACTGCTTTCTTTCTTAAATTACTGTACTAGCATAGCTGTTGTTCTTGCCAAAACTAATCAAGAAAACATCTTTCCTTCCAGTCCCAAGTAGCACTGCCAGTTTCTTAAGCTGTGCCATACCAGAAGGCACAATTCAGCCTTTTCCTCTGAGAGATTAAGCGACAGTTAGCTCCCTGGCTGCTATGAGCAAATCATCCTTAGAACATCTGGAGACTCAACACAACCCATTTTCTTGCCAGCATGAACCACAACCAGCTGCCCCACTTAGCAGCCATTCCAGAGTCTGGAAAAGTTACATTCCTGGACTACAAGTCCCAGATACCCATAGTCCACATACCCATTGGCCTTGCTGGCTAAAGGTTTCTGGAAGCATAAAGTTCCCTGTTGCTATTCCATCACTACATCTCCACTGCTTAAGCCTTAAGGGTATTCTGAGTGCTACACTCCAGCTTTATCGTGCCGTCATACTATTAATGGATGAGTGTAAGTTCCATCAAAACCATTTTGTTCTCAACTAGAAACAGCCTCCTAAAACAGATTGCTTCCTAATGCAATATTTATACCGTGTTTCTCTAAGTACTTGAAATATTTCATATTATGTGATATCAGTATTCCTTAAATACTGCAGCAGGAGTGATCACGGTAGTAACTTTGCAGGTGGTGAGCTGAGGTTTTATTTTTCTATTTTAACATCTATGTTGATTTCCCCTTATCTTGCAGACCTCAGGTTACAAGAATGAAAACAATGTCAAAATGAGTGCAACCATCATAACCAAGTTAAATGGCAACAAAAAGTGACTTAACAGCTGCAATAACTGGCAGTAAAATAGTAAGACCAACATAAGAATAGTCACTAAAAGCTCAGAAGAGCAAA